GCTGTTGCATGGGACAGCAGCAGTTCCCGCGGGGACAGCAGGGGCTCCCCCCGCAGGGGTGTCCGGAGCACCCGTCCTGCCCGGCCAACAGTCGCATAAAGTCCTCGGAGCAGGCAGCCGGTCTGCTGGCCTTCCGTCCGGGCTCAGAGGACCCTCCCCCCCGCCAACACAGAAGTTCTCGCCCACACCGGGTGCTGAACTGACACGGGGAGGGTGTCAGGAGCCGGGAAGGCAGCGTCTCCGACCCCGCCGGGCCGGTCCACAGCGTTCCGCCGAACCTGAGGCCGCTGGGCTGCGGGTTTCTCCGAAGAACCAACTCTTCCACCTCGAAGATCATCTCTCTTCAGGAACGGTCAGGTCACCCTCCGTTAACCCCTTCCCCTCAGGGGCCGGGCCCCTCCTGCGTGCGAGTCACCCTCCCCCCTTGGGTCTGTCTGCTCCGTGTGCCCACCTCACCCCCAAAGGTACTACCCAGGCTGATGAAGCCCTTTCAGGCCCCGCCAGGGCCAGCCGTGGCTTTAAAATGCAAATGAACTGAATTCCCAGAATAATACCCGAACGGACACTGGAGCTCTCGGTTCAGGGGGTGAGACGGGAGCCCCAGCCCGAGTCGGGGTGCTTCTCATGATTCCGTGGTGTCTGCCGGACAAGTCTGTGCCCCCTGCAGGGTGTCCGGGGGCACCCAGAGCCCCGTCTTTGATGTTACGGAGCCTCTATTGCACGGGCTGTGACCGCCTCCGCCGCCTGTGGGGTGGCCGCCAGGTAAATGTGCCGCCACGTAGCTCACTGGGCCCCCAAAGAAACTACCTTGAAATTAGTGCACTTCGCCATGGCAACGCAGCGAGATGACACAGCGTGACATGTCCTGGGCTTTTCAGGTTGAGCTTGCCTGCCTCATCCGATGGAGTGCGTTTTGGGGTTTAAATGTCAGTGTTTCACATGCAGCTGACCCTCCCCCTCCCCTCCCCCTCCCCAGTGGAGCTGGTTGTGGGGGGCAGTGCGGGGACTGCCCCCGTGTAGCCGGGTGGAGCCAGGTCAGCCGACTCTGCCACTTTCTCTCTCTCTGACTTGGGGCGCGTTTTGTCTGGTAAAGCGGAGAGCTGCGACGCAGCACCCGTGAACAGGGCTTGAGAAGCCTGGCGCAGCTTTGCACACAGCGGTCGCCCAGTGCGTGCTTCCTCTTCTCCCGCCTGGGTCCGATCGGGAGGCAGACCACACAGTCGGGGCAACAGGGGGTGGTAGGGGTGAGAATTAACTGTGGTGAAGGGGAACTCGAGGACCTAAGGGAGCCTCTGGGAGCCTCCCAGGGCACTCCTGAGAGGGGGAGCACCCACGGGAGGACCGCAGAAGGGTGGTGGTGGTTCTGCCACCAGAGGGGCTCCAGGGTGGCCAGGCTAGGGTCGCTGGGCCAGCAAAAGGCCACCCTTCGGGGCGCAGGCGGGGAAGCAGGAGCTCAGCAGCTGTGTATGCATGTGTGTGAGCACATGTGGGGGTGTGAGCACATGTGTGTGCACACACATGTTTGCAGTTTGTGTGCACATGTGTGTCCGTGCACAGTGAGAGGCAGGAGGCCTTTGGAGCCTGTGGGCCTCATGGGGGCTGCACAGGGGCTCCGGTTTGCAGTCGGGAGGGCTTGTCACTGGGCTGCAGGGCCACGGGGGTCCCAGGCAGGCCCCACAGGACGTCCTCACACTCCAGGCAGACCCCCTGCCGCCCTCCCTCCTTCAGGCTGGCACTGGAAATTTCCAGAAGCCCCTTCTTCCTACAACGTCCCTCTAGTGCCCTCTACTGAGAAAGCTCCGCCCTGCGCTCACTTTAAAAGAGGAAAGGAATTCGTGCTTATCGTAGAGCATCTAACGAGGGGTGCAGGTGGAGCCAGGAGGCAAGCACCTGATTGTGGACCCAGACTCCCATCCCAGGGACTGGGACGGGGCAGAGCCTGTTTCAGGGGTGGGCCTGCGTGGGGAGGGTGCAGGAGAGCAGGGCTTCCGTCCGGACTGAGCTTCTCGGAGAACAGGGCCGACTCCGCACCTGCGGACGCCCACACTTGACCCTGGGGAGCGGGAAGGGTGGAGCCAGGGGAGAGCGTGTCGGAGAAGTGATCTGGGGGGAGTGGGCCCTGGTCGTGTTTCGGTTGCACAGTTTTTGTTTTTGCGTTTTTAATGTCCTGTGTTATTTTTCTGTTGCTGCTGTAACAAAGTACCACACACGTAGGGGCTGAGAACAGCACCAGTTTATTGTACGTTCTAGAGGCCGGGCATCCAAAGTCAGCACCACGGTGCCGACGCCCGGGTTTGGGTGGGGCCGTCCTCCCCAGGCTCTGAGAGGAGCGCCTGGGGCGGGGCCTTTTTCAGCATCTCACTGGCACCTGCGTCTCGCAGCTCATCCCAGACCACGCAGGATCATCTCCTTATCACCAGGGTCTTAATTCAGTCACACCACACCGTCCCAGAGCTGCTGTTCCCTTCCCAACATCCCTGGCACTGGAACTCAGCCTTTCCCCTCAATCCGGGATATTTACAGGTAAATGAAAACCAGGCAGGATCATGAGTGTGTCAGATGGCAGCAGCCAGGTTCAAAAACTGTTGCTGGAAAAAAGTGTGATAGGAATAAATGGACATGTTAGTCTTTGGGTCACCAGCTGCATGAAGGGAGGAAGGGGAAGAGCTGAAAGCAGCCTACGGAGACCAGCTAGAAATTGTATTTCACTGCGAGCCCAGCACGAGTGATGTAAAACAGCCTCCAAAGGCCAAGCCTGTCTGGGCTGGGTCCGTAGGGACAGTTTGCGAACAGGAAGGTGTTCCCGCCGCGCCGGCCGGCCGGGCTGCAACCGAGCGCGGACCTCACAGCTGCGCCCCCTGCTGGAAGACCTGAGTCTCGACTGCAAGCACGTTTTTTTCCAGTGAGGACCCCTGCTGTGCCCAGCGCTGTACTGGGCCTGAAGACATAAGAAACCTCAAAGTCCACACGTAGACATTCGGTTTTGTTTTGTTTTGTTTTGTTTTTGAGAACGTAGGCTATATACTCGCAGCAGGGAGTACCAATCATTCACTGCAAATGAGGCTGGAGTCGCATATGTACTGGCACCAGAGTTTACAACACAGCATTAAATAACGAAAAGGAAATGCAAAGCAATATGGGTAGTTGGGCGCCATCCAGAAGTGAAAGAATGCATGTTAGAAAATTAACGTTAATTATACCAGCTGTTTTTTTTCTGCAAATCTGTGTTTTTCCATAATGAACATATATTGTTTGTATCATTTTTAAGTTATTTAACAGGATAGATTTAATTATAAGGAGTACTTAATGGGAGGTCATCACTTTGAAACATTGTAGAATCGTCTATTAGTGAAATCCGCCCTTTGCAGTTAGTTTTTTGGCAACAGGTATTATTAGAAACGGTGGAGGGACAGCAGCAGTTACCCACGAGTGCCACTAGATGGAGCCAAAGCAGCTCCTAAAATTTGGCAGCAAAAACTCAGTCGCTTTTGCTCCAGAGAAACAACTTGATGAGATTTCAAATATTTCAGATTCTCTGGCCAGGATAAGTGTTTTGTTAATGATGCACTTGAAATTATTTTTTTAACTTTTCAAAATTATAGTCAAACATGCCCATCTCCCCATCCCTGAGATGTGATGGATGCCTCTTTGACTCTTCACCTAGACTTTCCCACTGACCTCCAGGTTTCTAGTAAGCAGTGTCAAGATCCAGGTGTAGGTGGCCATTAACGATGACCATCACTCCTCAGAGCAGCTGGTTCTCAGTGTGGGTGGGAGATTAGCTCCCTTCCTCCCACTCTTTCCTGCCACCCTCCGTCCTGGGGCTGGTGGGCTTCCTGCAGCTTTGCCCACCTTGGCCTTGGCCCTTGCAAGCCTGGACCTGGGAGTGCATCCGGTTCCTGGAGTCGGCACTGCCGGCTCCAGCAAGAAGCTCCTTATACACAGTTCTCTCGGGAAAGCTCGAGCTAGGCAGTGGTGCGGGGGTTCCTCCATGCACACCCGAGCCGAGGCTCACCTCCGCACGGGGCACGCTCACTCCAGAGAAAGGGAGGGCTCACAGGAGAGGGTTTCACAGGTGGATACAAAGCAGCACAGGAAGCTCCAGGGGCTCACCTGCTGGGGAAACACAACTGGACTGGGTTGGTTTCTAGGCCAGCGAAGGCGGGAAAAGCCCTGGAGGGTACACAGAGGACAAGTCCGTGGTTCTGGGGGAGCCCCACTGGCACTTTACTTGTGGGGAATAACTAGTCAGAAATGCAGGCTGCTCCCACAGCTGTTCGCGTGGGCTGTTTCCACTGGCTTCCTCCTCCCCGCCCCCCCAGCTCTGAAAGAACAGCTCCGCTTCTGGGGATGTCTTTGCCCCTTTCCGGCTGCCACGTCCCTGCCCTGAGGCAGAAAGGAGAAATTGCCCTCGTCTTGATAAGTTAGAAAACCGTATATTTACCCAACCCACACCTCAGCATTTGCGTGTGTGTATATATACTCATATACAAAACATACACTCATATTCATATTTGAATATACACATATGCTCTGAAGACTAATATCGGTCTACACGCTGATGGTACAAAGGGGTGCAGAAAACAGGGCCGGAAGAGGGTCCCGAACAAAATTCATTCTCAGAGACGTAGCCTTTTCCGTCTCAGCGGTCAGCCCTGGAGATAGGGTAAATCGAGCAGATTTCATCCCAGTAGAATGCACAAGCATCCGAATCCAGCAGGCGGGCCACCCACAGAGAACGGGCGTAAACGGGAGGACGGTTCGTAAGGAGCCTCCACTTACCGAGTTCACGCTGCTCTCGAGTAACCGCGGCGGGGGAATACTCAGGCTCCCCGCTTCCTCGCTTCCTCGGCTGGGAACTCGGAGTCACGCTGATGAAACAGGACACCCCGAAACCACGGTTCGGGAGGGGGGGGGGGGTGGCGTCATCCCCGCCCCCGGGGAATGTGATCCTGGGACGGGCCTCGCTTCTAAAAGTGCCTCTCGCTTCCTTCCCGCAGCTCGACCACTACCCGTCCGTGAGCTACCACCTGCCCAGCTCGTCCGACACGCTGTTCAACGCCCCCAAGGCGCTCTTCCTGGGCAAGGTCATAGGTAAGAACTCGGGGCCGCGTGCTCGCGCCCCGTGCTCTGCGGCCGCTCCTTCCCCCTGGAAACCGGTCGCGGCCGGCGGCTGGGGCGTCCGGGCCAAGGATGGCGCCGGGAGCAGGGTTGTCATTGCATGGGTGGGGTGAGCTGAAACCCCGGGGAAGGCCAGCGGGTCCGCTCCTGGCGTCGTCAGGTGGGACTCGCTCGTTGGCTTCGTCTTCTCACTCCAAATGCACCCACCGACTCTTTCCGCCCGGCCCTCCCGGGAAGAGCTCGCCGGGAGCTGTCTGCAGAGTAGAGGGCGGGCAGGAGTCGGGAGGCTGTGACAGACCAGCCCCCCCAGGTGTGTGTGTGACTGTGACCTGGTGAGTCTTGCTGGCCTTTTCTTTACGGCCGATCAGTGCACTCTAGACCGAAATACTGATACGATCAACGAAGTACTTTTAAGTGATTAAGGTAAAGCCAATGGACTTTTTTTTTCTTTTACTGTGAGACGTGTGTTGTGAACCCACGGTGGAAATGCTAAGCTGGTGGACAAGGTGCTGGCCGAGGGGGAGGGGCGCGGGGGGTGGGCGGGGGGGGGGGCCGATGAGGGGACAGGAGACCCAGGCTGCAGTAAGACAACAGTAACATACACTCCCACGGGACCGGCGGCAGGCCAGGCTCCGTTTTAAGCACTGTCAGCATATGAATTCCTTTAACCTCCGCAGCAGTTCCTTGAGGTAATCAAGAGTATTGTCTCCGGTTTACAGATGGCGAAACCGAGGCACAGTGAGGTTAACTGACTTGCCCAGGGCCTTCGACTTGCTAGGTGGAACCCGGACTTGGATCCAGGCAGTCAGCACCTCCATCTGTGCGCCTAACTGCTGTGCTGTGATCTCTGTGACAGTCGAGTTAGAAATGAAAAGAGGAAAAAAAAAAAAACAGAACAGGAAGACTTGGGCAGAGGAGATCGGCCGGTTGAGGGATAAGCCCTGTGTTTCATGCCAGAGACAGGCCAAGGGCAAAGCGTTCTGCCGGACTTAGAACCGGGGACACACCTGGCCAGACAGCAGGCGGGCGGAGCTGTATGTGAGGCCGTGGAGGAAGGGAGGGACAGCGCCCCCCCCCGCGGGGGGGAGGGGCAGTAGCGCTGTCGGCGGGTGGACGCAGAATAAAAAGGAGTGCTGGCTAAACCTCGCTGGCCGCCTGCCAGGCTTTACGCCCCGTGCTGAACATTGTACGCGTGTACGGGCGAAAATGTCTCAACAATCCCGTGGAGCAGGGCCTACGAGTATGGTCCTCAGTTGGCAGTCGAGGAAACCGCAGCTGCGGGAGGTCAGTGCCGAAGTTACTCAACCGCCATGTGGGGCGGGGGCGGGGGCGGGGGCGGGGGGGGGGCCGCGTTGCGCAGCTCGGTCTCTCTGGCGGGGGTCCGCGGTCCCGGGCAGGTCAGAAGAGCCGGTCCCTAGGGGCCAGGTGCCCGCAGGGCTGCAGCTTCAAGTCAGGCGATGTGATTCCTGAGCAACAGGGAGTGGCTGTTCGGGGCAGTAGGGGCCTGGCTTCGCAAGGACGACCGCCGGGGACCGTGGCAAGCATCCCCAGGCCTCTGCCGTGTCCGTCCCCGCAGTCCAGTCAAGAACTCTCGAGAATCTGGAGGGCTTCTCCGCGGCCGTAACAACCCCGTCCAGCTCCGTCACGGAGGCGCGGTGCCCAGGGAGAGGCCGCGGAGGGTGACGCTGACGCAGTGGAAGGAGCTCGTCCCCGTGGGGGGGGGGGCGGGGGGAGGGAGGAGAGGGCTGCGCGCACATGGACCTCGCGGTCCGGTCGTCTGGGCGTCTGGCCTTTGCAGAGCGGGAGGAAGGGAGGCTTTGGAGTCCGGCAGGGCAGGGCAGCGCCTCGGGCTGCTGTGGCGGAGGGCCACCGCTGGGGGGCTCAGGGAGCGGAAAGGGACTGCCCGCAGCCAGGAGGCCGGGACCTCCATGGTCAGGGGGCCATGGGCCTGGGGTCTGGTGGGGGCCTGCCTCCTGGTTCACAGACAGCCGTCTTCTCCTTGCACGCCCACACAGGGCTGGGGGGTGGGGGGAGCGAGCTCGCTCACCCCCTTCCCAGGAGGACACTGATTTCACTCACAAGGGCGCCACCCTCATGATCTAACCGCCTCCCACAGCCCCACGTTCAATGTCATCCCACCACGGGGTAGGATTTCAGCCCGTGGGTTTGGGGGAGGTGCAGACATTCAGACCAGACCGGCCGGTGGTACGTGGACCAGGCTCTCGGGCGCGTTATGGGAACCTCTCAGAGCCTGGGTTCCCTGGGAACACCGACGCCTGCTTGCAGTGGTTCTCCCTCTGAGGAGGAGCGTTGTTGTCTTTGTTTTGAACTGACCCCTTTGCGGACTCACTTCGAGTGTGTGCTGTAGGGCCTCGCACACAGTCCGTGCTCGAAAAACATCTGGGGAGGGAATGCATCCCTCTTTCAGCAGTGCGCTGACGACGTCGTAGGCAGTACCCAGCACCGTGTCCGGTACGCAAATGAAGGAGATAACCAGCGTGTTGCGATGCAGGCTCTGTGCCAGACCTGGTGGTTTGTGTGGCGAGAACAGCACCCCTACAGCCCTCACGGCGCGGCCCCCCACCACGGCCGCCCCCACTGTGTGGAAGACGGGACCTAGACTCAGGGAGCCGAAGTCGTTTTCCCGAAGCGGCACTGTCAGCCCTCGGGGTCACGAAGGTCCCTGTTGGGGGTGGGACTGGCCCGTGCACTGTACGATGTTTGGCAGCATCCATGGCCTCTACCCACTAGATGCAAGTAGCCCCGCCCCTGCAAGTTGTGACAACCAAACCATCTCCAGCCGCTGCCAGACGTTCCCGGGGAGGGGGGGGGGGGCAAGGCGCCACCGCCCCCTGCAGGTTGTCATCGGCGGAGCTGGGATTTGGAAGGAGAGACACAATGGGAAAGGCTGGGCCCTGCTTCCTGGTAACTCGCGCCTCTTGCAGAGCGCCGGAGAAGCCAGGAAGAGATCTGACACCCCGGAGATCAGTTCTGCTCCTGCAACCCAAGTGAGGGCCGCGGGAGTCCTGCGGGTGCCTGGGGAGGCGTGGCCGCCTGCCTGGGCCAGGATGTCTTCAAATCGGGTCATTCAGTAGGCGTAGGCCTGGTGAGAGGCATTGTTACGTTTCCCTTTGAAAGCGAGCTCCAGTTCAGTGAGAAACGATCAATACGCGTCCATCAGCTCTGTGACTGTTCGTCTGTAAAGACGGGTCGAACCTCAAACAGCTGTCTCGTGTACGCCGGTGAGCTCCGCCACCCCCGGAGATCAATGCCCCTCGTGGTCGCCTGGCCGGGCCAGCGGCCGACCAGAAACGGATCTCGTGAAAGAAGCAGAGGAGGTGGATCGAAATAAACACTACTCCTCCCCACGAGCTCTTTGACGAGCATGGCTTGAGAAAGGCCACATAAAAAAGGATGGGAGAAAAGACACCCTATCAAGGGCAAGCCTGATCTTTCTGAAGGGAATGAAGGGAATTTATTCTAGAAAGAGAAATGCGATCGCAGTCAACAGGCATCGGAGTCTTGGATCGGGCCGTGGCACATCTGAGCCCGACAAGAAGAACGTCGAGGCCACGAGGGCAGCGAGCAGAGCCCCACAAAGGAGCGATCTCACCGGACCTACTCGTGCCCGTGTTTTAAAGTCACCCACTAGCTGAGCGATGCCACTGACGTTACGTGTATAATTTTCAGCAGCAGATTTCATGGGCTCCCGAGAAATCTTCAAGTCAAGGCAGAGATACACAATAGGAAGCCTGAAACAGGGTCTTCTCTTTGCCGATCGATGGGTTTTTTCCCCCAGCATTTCCACCCGTGCCTTTGGTTAAAGACACAAACAGACTGTTTATTGTGTTTGCAAATGGCATACAGCCGAGAGGGGCAGCTTCATCAGCTGGATGATGAAAAACCCTTCAAAAGCATCCTGACAGGCTAGAGAGATAGGGTAGAAATAATGAGGTGAAATATAGTAAAGATGGACTTAATTCCTGCCCTTACCCTCCCCCCTAAATACATCACATGAGAAGAAGGTGGAAGACGCCCGAGATCATGAAGCAGGGGGTGGTTCGACGCAGAGTCTGACGAGCCGGCGTCTGTTTTCAGTAAATGCAGTGGCACCGAGCTGCGTTCACGCGAGAACTGCATCCAGGGCAGGGGCGCACTCAGACCGCGGCTGGGATATTTAAGGTGGATGTTAATCTTCAGAGGTAGGTAGGCAAGGACCCATGCAGGTTCTTTATCCAAAAAAAATAGATAGAATGTGTGAGAAGAGAACCCACTCTCAGTCTTTGCCGGCTGCTGCAGGAAGGCGGGACCAGGCCCGAAGGAGACAGTGAGACAGGGGGTCTCAGTTCCCCGTGAGCAGAGCCTGGCCTGGCCCGGCCGGCACGCAGGACTGCGGCCGTCACACGGGGGTTTGCATCCGCATCCTGTTACTTACAAACAGTGTGACTTGGGCCAGTCGCCTAACGTCTCGTGTGTTTTGTGTCCTCGTGTGTGAAAGAAAAATAGTGACGGTCCCTGCTCCGCAGGACTCAACAAGTGACACGTTGAACCCGTAGCCCAGGGTCTGCCACCCAGTGTGTGCGGAACTAGTGCTGTTTCCGCTCAGTCCTAACTAAATAGGGGTATAGTCTTCCCTGGCCACGCGCCAGGCATGGTGTGCGTCATCGGCACGTCCGTGGTGTGCAAGACACACACAGTTTCTGCCTTTAGAAGCGTAGGTTCCAACCAGAAGCCGAGAGAAGATGGTGGAAAGGCAGCTAGGAGCGGACGGACACGTGGCAGGAGGTGTGGGAGGCGGCAGGGCAGGATTCCTCGGGAGCAGGACGGAAGGGCCCGGACCCGGTGCAGGAAAGAGGGTGGGCACGCCACAGGAAGCGACACAGACACCGAGACCCAGTGGTGCCTTACGGTCCTCCGCCAAGGCCGTGGCGGGGAGCGGGGGGCAGGCAGCGGGGGGATTTCTCAGTCCTCTG